ACAGAATAGGAAAGAGGATAAATATTTAATTTATTATGACATTTTTAGACTCATTAGCAATGGCCTCAGCTTCAAGAGCTCTTGAGATGAATTAAGACAAAACATCATGCATATTCTAAGTGTTAATTCTCTTCCCTCTGATTTCCTGTTTCCTGACATTCTATAAGTAGGTCGTTTGTTAATTTAACTATACAGCAGCCCAGAATGTGATGGCTAGTCCAGCCTGAAAAAATAAGAAAATAACCCAGAGAGGGGGGAGGAAAAAGACCACAGTCAAAGGGAGAGAATTCCTGCCTCTCCAAACTGGAATAATTACTACCATTTTCTGTATCATAATTTAGCATCTGCAGAAATCAAAGTTATTTTCTCTGGCTGTGACTAGAGTGTCATCTGACCATGATGGTAGCACAGTTATATTGATTTTTATTTGTTATGATAAAACATTGACCCTAGAAGACTGCAGAATTTGCATTGGCTCTTGTGCTCTTGTCTTTGCAGAAAACACACCATGCAAACTAAATGCTAGAAATAGCTGGCAACTTGAGAAGACACGCTAATTACATTTGCTGTTCATTAATTATAAAGGATACAGATGAAACAATCAGAAATGGCTACAAAGAACATTCTAGGAATGTCTTGATTGAAAATTGGATATGGAAATGCTGATAAATACATTGATGGATAAATTATTAGTTGGTCTTTGTAGCTGGAGTTTAATGATTTTTTTTTCCTGATGAAAAGGTCTTGCTTATTTAATTAGTATACTATGCTCAGATGACAATAAGTTATGTCCTTAGTCTTGTTAGAAAGGAAGTACCCTCATCAGGTAATTAGGAGTTTCCTGTTGTATTTGTCTGCTTATCCAAATTGTCGGTTTTACTTAAAGCCTATTACTGTATAAATACTTTTCACACATCTTTAAGATGAAGCAATCAAGATGATGGAGTAATATTTTTATCATACTGTAAAAAGTTTGGGGGAGAAAAACAACAATGATATGATACGGTGCAATAGGGACTTTTTTCTCCCCCTCTCCTTCGCTCTGATTCTCTCTGCTGTTGTAATTACACTTCTGAAGTTCATCTCATAGACAATGCTAAGTGTAATGATCAACCCTCCAATTACAAATAAATTCTCCCACTATACACGTCCTCTTAAAGCCTCAACAAACACATGTTGCCATTAAATGAATAAGGGGCCGGCTTTTGCTAATTTAAGTTATCCTAATCAACTTTGTCAAATAGATTAATTCCGTAGCATTTCGCTGCAAACATTTGAAGAGCATTAATGTTTTGCCACACTGGGGGAAACAGCTAGCAACCATTTTCAATTATGTGAGTATATATGTAATGTATTTGTATCAAAAACTTTTTTTTCCTTAGTATTCTTTTTATTTTCTAAATGCTTGTGATGGTGACTGGAAATGTGTGGAACATCTACAAAAATTTCTCATTATCTTTGCCGCTGATAAAGTGTTAAAAACAAAAAATTAAAGGGAAAATGTTTTTCAACACGTCACTGGGAGATTTATATATTCAATACTGATTATAGATTCCTATGTTGAAGTATTCGAATTACTGAAGATATTTGCTGGAATATAAAGAAGTAATCTAATAGATTGCATGATGGGATGGATTGTTGGACGCTGGATAATTAGTCGGCAGATCATCAGCGTAAATGAGTTTGATTTCTGTTTTCTGTGAGTCGGCAGAGCTGGACGTGGCCCAGTGTGGAGCTTAAAGTGCTAGAGGCGTAATCAACTGTCTTTTTTTTTTTTTAAATGGGGTCAGTTTTAAACTACCTAATGTGGAATATTTATCATGTATCACTGTGAGAAGCTTATCCCTGTTGTTTATTAAATGAGGTAAGTTTGAGATGTGTTCTTAAATACTGTCTTTAGTCTAGGGGTTATGTATGGGTGTGTGTGAAAAGATGGAAAATTAACTGATACTTTTTTCTTCTAAAAATATTTATTTATTTTTTTTTTTTTTACTCAAATGACTTTGCAGTTTGGCAATCAATTTTTTTTGGTTCATAAGATTTCAAGAAATTAAATGTAGTAATGCAGTTCCTTATTTTAAAAATAATATTTATTTGCAACATGATTTCAAATTGAAAATCTTTAAGTTGATATTTCACACCATACATATATGGATATGAAAAATTAGAAGTTTTGTCAGCATGTCGGTGAGAAATTCCCAATATGTAGGGGATTGATTGATTCCACTGTTGTCCTCTGCATGATGAGCATATACCTGTGACAGTTTTTTTTTAGCTCCTAGTCAGTATAAATAAGCGATGGTTTCATTGACGGCAGATCGGGGGAAGTAGGAGGATTTTTCATTCATGCCTGACACTGATAGTAAATAAAGTAGTGTGTAGTTCTAAATCCTTAGCTGCTCACATTCTTTTTTTTCTTTTTTGTTGCTGTGTAGAGATTTATAATTGGAATTTTAAAAAGTTAAAGGAATTAAAATTGAAAATCTTTAGATGGTTTTGA